CCATGCCTGGCTAAGATTCATTTTTAATGCTACTAAAATATTAGCTACCATATCATCTGCAAATAGAAATATTTTTACCTCAAGTTCTTATCTGATTTTCCTGGGTAGGTGTTCTAAGGAGCATTGATTAGACAAGGTGACTGTGGAAATCCTCGTCTTAATTTTGATTCTAGGATAGAAGTTATCAATCTCACTGCTGTGTATGATGCTTATTGTCTCTTAAGGATGCCCTTATTGTTTGGAGTAAGTCCCCTCCCACTCCTGGTCATGCCATGTTTTCATCTTGAAAGGTGTCTGAACCTTCTGGGTCTGCTGATAAATCCTGTGCTCCTTCCTCTTTACTTTATCAATATGATATATTAACCAATGGCTTTCATCTCTTGCACAGTAAGGATACATTCTATTTAGACATAGTGTATGATGATTTATGTAGGATGCTGGATTCAGTTTGCAAGTGCTGACAGTTGAAGAATTTTTATGTCTATATCTATGAGATATTTATTTGTAGTTGTTGTTATTTTCTTGCTATTGCCTCTTTGGTTTGGATGTCAAAATAATTCTGGTCTTATATAATGAATTGAAAAGTGTTTCCTTCTCTTCTATTTTTGAAGGTTTTAAAGAAAGTTGATGCTATTTATTCATTAAATATTTGGTATCACTTAACAGTAAAGTCATTTTGTTTTGCTTTGTTTCTTAAGACAGGGTCTCCCAATAGCTCTAACTGGCCTGGAGCTTACTATGTAGACCAGGCTGGTCTTGAGCTCACAGAGATCCGCCTGCCTCTGCCTCCTGAGGTGCTGGGATTAAAGGCATGTGCCACCATGCCCAGCTTTTGAGAAAATATTTTTTTAATAATTCAGATTTTTTACCTAAAGTAGGTCTATTCTGACTTTATATTCCTTCTGGGCTCTGTTTTGGTAGGCTTTTTTTAACCAGTTCTAGGACTGGTCTACTTTACCCAGGTTATCCAGGCAACATACAAAATTGCTTATATTTTTTGTCATAACTTACTATTGTTTATTTAACATTAGTTGTGAGCTCATCTTTGAGTTTAGCAATCTTATTATTTTATTTTTTTGTTAGTGTATTCGATTTTATTGATCTTTTCAAGAGATAAATTTTTGGTTTTGTGTATCTTTTTTTCAATTGAATTTTAATTCTATGCTTCATTAATGATTCTTCTAATTATTTTCTCATTCCTTCTGTTTTCCCCATTTTTCTGGTTTCTGCTTTTCCTGGATTTTTCTTAAGATGGAAATTAGATTACTTAATTGAGAACTTTCTACTTTAATAATGTAGGACTCTTTAGGGTAGGGTAGGGATTGAACCTACGGCCTTGTAAATTGGAGACAAGCACTCTACCACTTATAACATAGGCTTCTAGAGCTACAAATGTCCATGTAAGAACTCCTGTAGCTATAGCCCATAAAACGTGAAATGCTGTACTTTTACCTTAATTCATCTCAAAGTGTTTTCCAGTTTCAATTTCCTTTGTGATTTCTTCTTTGATACATCAATTATTTAGATGTATGTTTTTAAATTTACATTTGCTTGTGAATTTCCCAAATTATTTTTTTTATTCCTAATTTTTTAATTGAGATCAGGAAACCTACCATAATGTGGTGCCACTCTTTTTAAGTTTCCTTGAGGTAATTTAATGATCCAACATATCCTCACGTGTTCTGTGTATGTTGAGAATACATGTTCCGCTGTTGTGTGGAGTGTTTTTTAGGTATCTGGAGGTGTACTTGGTTTATAACGTTCAGGTCTTCAATTCCCTTGCTGACCTTTTATCTGGTTATTCTGTTCATTATTGAAAGTGGAGTATTAAGCTGATGCCTATCATTGTTAAATTATCTGTTTCTCCCTCAATTATCTTATTTTGCTTCTTGTATTATCATTTCTGTTGTTAGGCATACTATACATGTTTATAATGAGTATATCTTCTTTTTAAAAGATACATCTTTATTAATTTTAATGATGTGTGTGTATCTGTAGATGGGTATGTGCCCATGTGTGTAGGTGCCCATACAGGTCAGAAGCATTGAATTCCCTTGGAGTTGGAGTTACAGGTGTTTATGAGCCACTCAGTGGGGCTGCTGGGAGCCAAACTCAGGCGGTCACAACCACTAAGCCATGGTATATCTTCTTGATGAGTTGGTACTTTTATCATTATACAATATTCTTCCCCTTTTAAAACAATTTTGATCTTAAACTATGTTTTTCCCTCTGTTAGTAAGCCATTTAAGCTCTCTTGGGTATTGTATGCACAAGTATATATTTCTACCCTTTCACATTCAAGCAGTTTATGCGTAGTCAGTTTAAGTGCTTCTCTTATGAGTAGCACACAATTTGATAGTGTTTTAAAACTCATTCTATCAACTCATACCCTTTACCTTGAGAGTTTAGTCTAGTAATAATGGAATTTTTTATAAGACAGTATTTTTATTCCCCATTTCCCTTTATTCTATATGACTAATGAAATTTTTTTTCTGTTTCTTCATATTGCCTTCTCGTGTGTTAAAAATAGTTTTCTAGTATGCTTTTCTCTTTTCTTTTAAGGAAGTTATCAAAGTTGAATGAGATTATGAGGCTAGGACTTGGATCTGATAGGACTGGCTTCTTTATAAGAAGAGGAGGGGAGCCCAGAGAGAGTTCCCTTAACATGTTTGCACAGAGGAAAGGTCATGCGAGGACAGTTATCAACAGTCAACAAATCACAAAGAAAAACATGACCAGATACCAATATTCATGACACCTGATCTTGAACTTCTAACTTCCAGAAATATGATAAAATACATTTCTGTTGTTTAAACCACCCAGATGGTACTGTTACTATGACAGCCTAAGCAGATTGATGCAGTATAAATCTTTACTACCTATAATGATTAACTTAATTGTCAACCTGACTAGTTTTGGAATCACCTAGGAGACACACTGCTGGACACATCTTTGTAAGCATTTATAGAGAAGTTTAACTGAGGACAGAGATTCCCCCGGAATAATGGAATGCTTCCCATACTAGGGGCTGGGGTCCTAGAGTGAATAAAAGGAAGGAAAGGAGAAAGCAAGCTGAGTACTGGCATTCACCTCTCTCTGCTCCCTAGCTGTGGACACAAAGTGAGCAGCCACCTCACGCTCTGGCCTTCACGCTATTTCTGCCACAGTGGACTGTGGCCTCTCAAAATAAAACTGTCCTTCCTTAAACTGCTTTTGTCAGGGATTTTGTCACAATAATGAGAAAAGTATCTAATAAATTCCCATAAACTTCTATTCCCGTTATTATATGTCTCCGCTGTTATTGTTATAATTTATGTGTTGATACATTGCATGCCTATAAACACAGATTTATATTTACCCCATGAAATTGTCTTGTAAATTAGATAAGACAGGACAAATCAAATTGTAAACAAAAATGCATTTAAACTTCTTATATTTGCTTATGTGCTTGTTTATACTGTTACTCTTTGTTTCTATACATGGATTTGAGAACAGTCCAATTAATATTCCAATTAGAAGGTCTGTCTCCTGCCAAAAATTCTGTTTATTATCATCTGGGAACAAGTGTGTGTCTGTTTATGGGTATGTGCACATGTGAGGACAGGTACCTGTAGAGGCCAGAAGAAGGCTTTGGATCCCCTGGAGCTAGAGTTACAGGTAGTTGTGAGTTGCCAAATGTAGGTGCTGGGAACTGAACTTGAGTCCTCCACAAAAGGATATTTCCTAATTCATTAGCATTCTACTTCCATCACCCAAGAGTCCACCTTTCTGCTTATCTTAAGTTTATTTTGTGGCATTTAATTAATTGGCTTTGATCTATGTTTTATTATCTAGTCCATACATTCTATTTGTATATGAATAGTATTCTTCATTGTGTTTCTTATGTTCTTTATTTTATTCCTAAGAAGATTTTCTCTTTAACGTATTTTGACATTCTCTAAGTTCATGTTTCTTCTCATACTTCTGACTTTATATTTGTTTTCCTGATTCTTGTGTTTCTGGATTTGGTGGAGGGTGGTCATTCTTTTAGGACCAATAATTCCTTTTTTAACTCACAGACACATTCTTTTTGCTTTTTAAAAATGTATCATTAATGTGTGTGTGAGATGTTTGTGTATGTATCTGTGTATGTGAGTGCATATGATGTGTGCCTATCTGAGTGCATGTGATATGATTGTGTGTGATGTGGATGTATTAGTGTAGATATGCATATGCCACAGCATGCCTGTTGAAGTCAGAAAACAACTGTAGGGAATCAGTTCTCCTTCTACTGTGGGGTCTGGGAACTTAACTCAGGTTATCAGGTTTGTGCATGTTTCCCTGTTGTCTTGCTGGTCCAATGACCACATTCTTCATCTGCTCTGCTGCAGTGTTTTCTAGTATTCTCCATCTGCATGTAAGTTTAATCTCTGTTGTTGAGAAACATGACATGACCTATCTCAGATTATTTCTGAGTAGAGTGTAGAGGTTCAGTTTCTTTCTTGATTATTTTTTTTCCTTTGTATATGTTTATCCCACTGTAACAGCACAATAAAGCTTTCTCTCCCCCAATGAATTGTCTTAGAACCATTATCCAGACTCTGTAATTTCCCACAGTCTTCTGCAACTCTTCTTATGCCTCTTCTACAGTTTCTTGATGACTGACTCTTTAGGAAGTCCTAAATAAAGCTGTGCCATGCTCCAGCATTTTTCCTTATTTTGACATTTGTGTGGCTATTCTTGGTCTTGCATTTATGCATTAATTTTAAAATCAGATTTCTGATTTCCACAAAAATCCTACTGAGATTTTTATTCAGCCTATGTTCAATCTATACTTGAATGTTCCAAAATCCACCAATATGGCACACTTCTCCATTTATATGAAGAGTTATAATTCTTGATGGTAGGTTTTAGTGTTTTCCCTCCATTTTTACAAAAGCACCATTCTCTCAGTGCTCCTTCAGTGGCTGTTAATAGTCACTTCTTTTTTTCAACAGAGCTTGAAGTTTATTTGAACTTACAGTTTGTGGGGATATAGTATATCAGACCATGGAGGCAGGAGTGTGAGGTGTCTGGTCACACTGAGTCCACAGGCAGAAAGCAGAGGGAGGTGAATATTCTTCCTCATTTTTGAATGATTCTTCTGGGCCTGTTGCAGGAGGTTCCTACACAGAAAGAGAGAGAACAGAGCAGTTTTCTAAGTAATTCAGAGAACAGATGCTTTCTACATGCAGGGTAGCTTGTTTTATTCTTTAAAACCAAAATTTTTCTTCATTTATATATAATTTTTTGGATTCAGCCATTTATGCTACCCTTCTAAATTCTTGCCCCATTTTTGACAGAGAATGAAGTATATCCCTCCTGCCTTCAAGAGGTAATTTTTTTTTTCTTCTATTTTCTGAGATCCTGGTCCTTGTCTACCCTTTCCACATTTCTTTTTGTGGGTCCATTGTATTTTTAGTAGCTATTTGGAAGCCCTTAGTTTTTCAAATTATGTATTATATATTCAGCTTATTTTTATTCAAAATGGTGGGTTCAGGTTTTCTTTCTTCTCTTTGTGGCTATATACGAAACCTGGGAAGAAAAAGATATTGATTTGTATAATCTTACTAATATACAAATTTCCCAATTTTAATTTTAAAAAGATTTAAAACAATATACTAAGCTTTTTAGGCAAATTTCAAAAGGTAGGTTTCCCACATGACATAGTGAGGACACATCTTCCAATATTCTTGTGGTACAACGTGGGAGTTTTAGAATTCCATTACTTAACTAAGAAAAGGCTGTTTCCAAAGGATGCTATCTTGAGGTAGAAAGACCTTGTTTTAGTTTGCTTCGGCTGTTGTTGTGATAAAACACTGATCAAAGGCAACTTGGGGGTGGGGGTGGTGATGACTGGGTTTATTGCATCTGACAGGTCCTGGTTACATTCCAACATGGAGGGAAGCCGAGGCTGAAACTCAAGCAGGCAGGAACCAGGAAGCAGGAACTGAAGCACAGATGATAGAGGAATGCTTACCATCTTGTTCCCCCTGGCTTGCTCATCTACTCTTCTTATACAACTCAGGTCCACCCACCTAGGGATGGTACTGCCCACAGTGTGCTGGGCCCTCCTAGTCAGTTAGCAATCAAGAAAACACCTGACGGGCCAGCCTAATGAGGAAATCCCTCAATTGAAGTTCCCTCTTCCCAGATGGCTCTAGTTTTTGTCAAGTTGACAAAAACTAACCAGCACAGACTGGTTTTCTTATAAAGGATTAAAATTAAATGTATTTGAGAAATTAGCAAGCAGAGAAAAATCTCTTTGGAATTTAAATTTTCCTGTAGTCTTTGACTATAGTTCAAGGTTTTGAACTTTGAATTTGAGCACTAAAAGAGGCATCAGATTCAATGGTGTAGAAATTTGAAGTTGTGTCTTCATGCAGATGCCACCACTAAGCAGTGAACTGCCAAGCTTAGAGAGCCAGCTCCCATCCTTCTGGTCTTGTGCTGGTACCTACAGGTGTCTTCCCTAATCTCCAACAAATTGTCAGGCATATTTTTCTTTGATTTGTTGTGAGAAAAACAGATTTGAGACAGATAAGATTGTGTACTTTGTTAGTTAAAAAAAGAAACAAACAGGATTAGAACTGTCTTCTACTCAAGGTAAAGAATCTAAATTATTGAAAGAAGCAAATATTAGGATAATTCATGGAACTCTCTGTCTTTTTCCCATACATATCCTCTGTTCTTTGCCAGCATTGTTTCAGAATAGTCACAATTATGTTGATTTTGAAGTATTTTGAAACAAGGAGCTAGGTATGCAATGCATTAAAAGTTATCCAACAACTAGCTCATTGTTAACTCTAGAAAGAATGATGCTTCCTATTGGGAAAGACCTGTTCAGAGAGTTTCTGTTGGAGTCCCTTCCTCCTTTCTTTTCCTTTTCCCTGATCTGCCTGCCACCATCCTATGATGTTCAGATCACACCAAGCCCATACGCGATGATGCTTACAAAAGGGAGTTGCAAGCCAAGACTGAGAAGGTAAGACGAGAGCAAAAACATTGGTAAGGGCAGGGCAAGGGGAGAGTAGATCCAGGGGTTCTAGAAGCTGGGGGGTTAAGAGAAACCCAGAGATCCAGAGCTGCAGAGTCTTTATACCTCCTAGGTAGGAAGGCGGTCAGGAAACTTTAAACCCAATGCCTGGTAAGTGCTACTGGGGTAGTTCTGGATTTTAATGAAAATCTAGTCTGGTGCCTATGGGAACAGAGCAACTATTTGGTAGAAATCCTGGGAATACCTGGATTCATTCGTTCATTCATTCATTCATTCATTCATTGTATTTCAAAGATCAGATTATCAATATTAGGAACTTGACCAGTATCGCTAAAGTGTTAAAGATGAAACACAGAAAGAAAATTTCTAATAACGACTTCTACTGTGGAACACACTTGGGAAAAATACTTGAAACATACACTGAGCTTTTGTCTCCTTAGAGCAGTGTTATATTAGTGGACATCAAAGCAGTGAGGTGAAGGGCTTAACCTTCCAGTGGAGGAGATGCTGTGGGGAAGAACCCTTTGGGAAATTAGTGGGCTCCCTGACCTGCAGCGGTGCTCAGTGTGCTCCCAGGAGCCAAGGTACCAGCCACAGCAATTGCAGCATTTGTTTGGGGAGGAACACTCCCACTCAGCCGTTCCTCAGTCCAATACACATGCCTCTAATTTGAAGTTTTTAAATTCTGCTCCAAGACTGTCGTCAGTCATTTATCCTCTTTCCTTTAACACTAACCACCTTGTTCCCTTTTCTACTGTGAACAGAGCCAAGCAGTGTGAGTTGAAATCCAACAGCCTTTTGTGTGGCTTGAGAAATCTGAGGCTGACATCTCTGGGCCGTTTTTGTCTTTCCTGCCTCTCTCCACCGGAGACCTGCCAACTCCTTTTGGCTCTCTTGGGCTTTTGTCATGTCGCATATTGATCGCTCCCCTTTCTTTCATTTGTGGTTTGCTAAAGGACAGGCCCTGTTGCACAGTGACTTGGCTTTGGGCAGTGGGTAGGTCAGATTATGTCCCTGGGCACCCAGGTCCAGTTGATACTTCACCAGACCTGGTTGATATGACATCAGCGACTCATAAAAAATCAATTTTCTTTTCTTTTTTCTCTCAGATTTCTATTCTAAAATCTCAGTGTCTTTTCAGATTTCAGTCTGCTTTTTTTGAATGCTCTTTTTCTGTTTCTTTTCCATCTTAGACCTTGTGATCCTCAGGTACTGGATTTACTAATTACCCCCAATGCTGGCACCTGACAGCAGGTGGTCACCATTCTGTTAATTATGTCCCCAGGCTTAGGGATTCTCTCCTAATGACATCCAATCATCTACCTCTGACTCTTGGACTGAAAGCAGGTTGCAGGCCAAAATCTTTTCCCTTGGGTTCTTCAAGTCTATTCTTCTGGCCTAGCACTGGATGGCAGAGCTATGCCTGCAAGACATAGAATTGCCAAGTACTGGGTTCCTTCTATGGCTGGCTGGTGGTCACAGCTCAAATGCAAGGCATGTGAGACCCAGCCAGCACAGCATCGATTTACCAGTCAAACAACCAACTTGTGAAGCATTAGCCAGAGACCTGCAGTAGATTAAGATACTTATTTTGCCTCCCTCTGGTCCTAGGGCCCCTCTGTAAATTTTCCTGTAGGCCAAACAAAGATTTCAGCTTCCCATAATCAAATGAGGAAAGTAGAAGGGGATGTGGTTAATTCTCTCATCGGGGAGTAAGGAAGAATGCTCTATAATATGCAAGAGGCCTGGGCTTGCAGAGAAAGAAATGTAAATCACTGGTAATATTCATTCCAAGAGTAAACAGGCCCCTGCCTTTCATCCATAAAATAGCAGAAATATCCCTTTTGTTCTTGTTTGAAGTACAGCCCAGAGATCTAATTGTGCACAATTTCCAGAAGGTTTGGTGTTCCACGGAGACAGGTACTGTGTGCATAGATGTGGGTAGGGTATATAGATGCGGAGATAATCCCTCACAGACTGCCTCAAGATACCCATACTGAAAGAAATGAATTATGGGTAAGACGAACTGTCGAGCAGGGAGTTTAGGTCAATTTGTAGGTACTTTAAAGCAGTTGCGATGGATGTGGGAAAAGAGATCAATGGAAAAATATCAATAGGGATCTCACTGTAAATACGCCATTGCTACCAGTCACACTAGTCTTCAAAATGACTGTCTGTAACGTGAGCAAATCACAGAGGGGAAATAAGATCTTTGCATATCAGCAATGAAAACAATATAGCCACATGCTTGCTCTCATGTCTAATGAGATGAACACAGGCAGTCAGAGACAGATACGTTAGTTCTGGCCAATGTCAGAGATATCTTACCTGGTTGACAATTATGATCACAAGTTTGATACATGTGTCATTGCAATTGAACCTCATAATATTCCTCTGTGATATTAGTTAAAGACAACCAAGGCAGGTTTCTTTAACTATTAGATATCAGGGTCATATCATGTACATGACATAGGAGTGCACAGATATAATCCTGGGTTATTCTTCTTGAGCTAAATCGCATTTTACTATGCCACATTTTCTCTGAGAATTTTCTCAGTTATGTCCTCTAAGCTTGTTCTCACCCTTCAGAAAATCCTCTTTTCATTGCTCTCTCTTCAATGGCTTGGTAATGGAGGGCCATTGTATGTCTGTTCCCTGTGAATAAGACTTTACCTTGAATCAGCACACTCCCCAGGGCTGCCCTGAATGATGATACATCATGTGGCCCTGGCAGGTCTCCAAACCTCTTCAACTGATGCTACCTGAACAGCTCACACACGGAGTCTCTTGTCATTGCCCAACCGAAAGGAAGCCTACTGACAGAGGGTGAGAAGAAGGAAGTAATTTGGGAGCGGCCTAAACAAATGTACACTAAAATTCCTGGCAGCTGTGCAGCCGGCCCCAATTTGAAAGCATTCACACTGTTGCTGAGTTCACTGGTTATTTGTCCACTGTTCACTCTAGCACTGATGAAACAACTCTCCGGGGGGATTTTTAATTTGTACTTGATGGTGCTGGGTCACCTCTTTCATGCGTCCTCCTTTAATTATTGAACACTGCACTCACTCTCTTTCTCAGGTTGTTTGTAATCTCAATCAATTAATTTCCCTTCCCCCTACTTCCAATATG